CACACACACACACACACACACACACACACACACACACACACACACACACACACACACACACACACACACACACACATGTCCTCTTTCACCCAAGGACAAGTTTTAGTTGGCCAGTCATCATTCTTAGATGGACCTGATGATTTTGCATTAGTGCATGACGGCTGCATAAATCTACACATTTACACGAGAGCCGTTAATGGGGATACAATTATTTACACGTGATTGTGAAAGATTTTCACAGTGAACATGCTTAGTTATTGTCCACTTTTTGAACTTCCTGAACATATCTGAAGTGCACTCAAATGTTATCTTCCAAATAATATTTTTCCTGCTTTTTGCAAACAAGGAAACTCGGTTTTAATGTTAATGATTTAAGGAAATGAAACAAAGCCAGATATCTCTAGTGACAACAGATGCTTCCAAATGGCTCTAGGCTAATTTGTGCTGTGTAAAAGCTGAGCTCAGTTAGCCTTGGGCCAACTCGTAGCCTCAGGCCAAGTAGAACTCTGGTCTAATAATGTGCGGTGTGAAAAACCCAACAGGGACATGTCCCCGGCACACTGGAGACTGCATTTGGAGCTAGCTCTGTGCTTTTGGCCATCAATCAAAATCTCTTAACCCAGTGATTCTCAGCTGCTGTGCCCCGAAATGAGCTCTGGAGTGTCTGGAGATTTTGTTTAAGTTTAATGAAAATGATCAGTGACCTGGCAAAGAAATATATTAACTTCATAAAAAGTGAGGCAAACTGCTTGGGATCATCACACACATATATATAAGGTACTGTACAGCCTTTTTGCTTTCTATTCAAATATCAAATTATTTCACACATGTCCCCTAATTGCGTAATCAGAATATGAATAGGTCTTCAACATCTGCGTTAGCATATACAACAGCTTATGGGCTCCCTTTATCAATATTTGCCCATGTGTAAAACACCAGCACAGAGCTAATTGTATTAATTGAATATGCGTGTTCACAACAGCAATAATGAATTAGTTTTGTGTTGTTTTTTCTTACTTTGATTAACACAGCCTTTGCTATATTATGTTCTCTTAGGTACGTAGGTCTATGGTGAGATAAGTAAGTACTTCAAAAGCACGTAGTGTACGCAGTCTTTGCACTGGATTTATTTTAGATGATGATAGAGACAGAGAAAATCTGTATTGACTTGTTGGATTTTAGCTGAACTTGGAGATTTAAAGCAATCCAAGAAATATCTATAATAAAGAGATGTTCTTTTTAAAAGCCATTACTGTTTCCCAAAAGTACCAGAGGTGTTTATGTCTCTCCTGCTGCAGAAAAAGACACAAAATGTTTGGCTCAGGTTTGTTGTTGTTTTCTCCTTGAATCTGATCCCATAGTCGTCATGTGTCAGTCGCACGCCTAAAGGCTTCTTTGGTTTCAACGGGGAGCGATGAAAGGAGGATGACATGGTTTTGCAGCCTTCCAAAACACACCTCATGGGATTCAAATCAAGGGATGTCAGTAAGAGACCTGCAGAGGCGTGGAGAGCATCGGCAGAGTCTCAGCCGACTTCCCTCTTTCCTCCCATTTTTATCTCACCACTCTTCACTGCTGTGATGTGAAGGCGCCCGCTGTGTGTTTGACTGCCTCTGTCTGTCTGCCAGGCGCTGTGCTTCAGTGTGTGGGGGCTGGATGGGTTTGTTGCTGCTGAGTGTGGTGCTCTTCCTCGCTGCGCTGTCTCTTCCTTATAATGAATTCGTCAAACAATCTGTCAAGATCACCACTACATTTAAGAGTTTCATTAAAGAATAAATCTTGTAATCTCTTACCCTTTCCCTTTTTCTTACTTAATGTAACATTGAAAAGGTCCCCGGTTTTACTCACATTTGAAGTGCCACATCTTATTCAATGATTGAATGTAATAAAATTAGCATTTATACATATTGGAAAGGAAAGTTCCACTTTCAAAAGAAGTAACTTAACAAAGTGGATTGACATAAGGGCAATGCAATATAATTTAAACCTGTTTTAATGTAACTTTAATGCCCCAGTTACTGTTTTCGAAAAAATATAAGCCTGTCTAGAAGTGGCACCTTTACAGTGATGTTACATTTACAGTAATGTTGATTGATGTTCAACGGTGTTAAGTGTTGATGTCAAATAAAAGTCAGACTGTTAGCAGGCTCAGCATTTTTAAACACCGGTAAGGGTATTCATATGGAGTTAAGATGGTCAAATGTTATACAGCTTGGATTAAGTTACGTCTCATTTACGGAATAAATCATATACAGTAGACATGGTAAAGCAACATTAGCATATTCTCATTTGGGTTTTTAAATCACAGGAAACATATATTCATTGCTGTGTTTCTCATCGAGATAGCTGAGTAGCAAAATCTATGATCACTGTAAAGAAAATGTGGATGCTTTTGTAAAAAGCCAATGAGCACCAAACATACCTTTTAAAATGTATTTGGGTTTCAGTTGTTTGAATTACCTGAAAAACTGTGTGACAGGATAACTTTCTGTCATACTGTGTACGGACAGAAGTATTTATTTTCCTATAAAAAAAGTTGAAAAAATGATAATATTTCTCTTGTTTTTTTTCTCTCTCGTCTTCCATTCTTCAGTATACCTCATCTTTGACATATGATGGCGTCCTTGTGATGTCCGAGGCCTTCCGCACCCTTCGCCGTCAGAAAATTGATATCAGTCGCCGTGGCAACGCTGGTGACTGCCTAGCTAACCCAGCTGCTCCCTGGAACCAGGGAATAGATATGGAGCGTGCACTCAAACAGGTTAGCACAGGATTAAGGTTGTATAGTTTAGGATAGACAGGTTGCAAAGTGCTTAGACAGATGTTGCACTCAGACACACATACACATTACACATACACACACACAAAAAGCAATCAGAAAAACAGCTGGCATGGAAAAGGGGAACGTATACCAGAAATCTATTTCGACATTTATGTGTTTTCTTGTTTGGACTTTGATAGAGTACCCACCAAAGTCCAAACACATACACACACTTGACACACAAACTTGTATGGCTATACTTTCGGGTACATTGACAGGGTCTAAGGTTTTCATCAAATCAAACTATTTCTATTCCTTTTTACGGTTTCAATTTTGTATGCATTTTTTACATTCAGTGATAATCTAAAAACACATATAGTAGTTATCAGTGTCTACCAATCCTGCCCTGGATTTAGATTGCCTGCCTTAACAAAGGATCTGCAGGAACCTATTAATGCATGTAATGATACATGTAATAAGGTACTGTAGTGTATAATTAATTAAAATATTATGATATGAACCTTAATGCTGACTCTTCGCCAAGTTACTGAGTATTTCACTCTGATGCTGCTTCACATTTAAAATAATATGAATTGTAAAACCACTGTTTGTTTGACTGCACTTTACACGTATATAACCTTTGTTTAAAGAGTTTCAAACAACACTTTTATTTATGTTACAATATATAATATAAAAGCATTGCCAAATCAACCCTAGAAAAAATACTCAACATTACTAGTGTATTCTTTTTTTATATTCCTCCAGTCCTTACTTTCCTTGTTGTTGTAAATGCAGGTGCGCATTCAGGGCCTGACTGGGAACATTCAGTTTGATCACTACGGTCGGAGAGTGAACTACACCATGGATGTGTTTGAACTGAAGAGCAACGGACCACGCAAGGTAGGCACTTCTCACGACTTAAAAACAATTCAAAAACACTTTCATTGTGTGGTTTGAACAACTTGAAACCCCTACCACAGCCAACCTATTCTATTCAATCAATATTTATTGTTAAAAGAAAATAATTAACTTCAGAGTTATCTCCTTGATTCTTAATTGATAACTGTCCTAAGGCCTTTATATGGCTATATGTTTATATAGCTTCTATTGGACCAACACAGCTTGACTTTTAATAGCTTTTCTCAAGTACTCATTGGGGAGCAGGTACAAGTCAACCTGGGGCTACAAAAAGCTCTGCACCGACACAAATAGCAAAAGTTTGAGCATAATCCTTCTTCGGAATAGCAAAAAGTAGGAGGATAAGGCTCCGGTTGGAAGTACTCATCATTTCTCTTTACTGGAAGAAAAGTATACATATAGCGCCGATAATAAAGAAATAACACCATGTTCCAGCTTCTCAAGTGTTCCTTTGATGGCGATGTTTGTTTATTGAAGGTTCTTCTCTCACATTCAATATGTCTCAGTATCTTCTACAGTTCCAATGGGAAATATGTCGGAGTGAGATCATTCTGATGAATCTTTTCTTTTCTTTTTTAACTTTTTATCCCTTCTTCATAATTTCTAATTTTCCTTTTTATGTATCTGTTTGAGGACCAACTTGATTTCATTTTACACTTCTTACATTTCATATTAAAATGATTTTCACTACAAAGACTGATATATTTGATATTTCTTTTTATCACTCTGTTTCCCTCAGATTGGCTACTGGAATGACATAGACAAACTTGTGTTGGTCCAGAATGAAAACGTTCTGTCCAATGACAGCACGTCGATGGAGAACCGAACAGTAGTCGTGACAACTATCATGGTAATGTACCCTCAGACTGCTTTAATTTCTTCATTCATTTGGGTGAAGCTGTCCTTCAACATCAGTCCGTTCAAATCCACCACTTCATTTCAACCAAACCTTGCTTCAAAACTCACAGTTGCCTCATATAGATTATTGAAGTTCATGGAGATGCAAATGGAAATACAAATCTGGTGCCCAAAAGGTGATTAATATGAATTCTGTTAATAATTAATGTTACATTGGTGCTTGATTAAAAATAATCTGACATTTTCCAAAATTAGGTGCATGCAATGAGAAAGAGAGGGAAGAGGGTATGCCAAGATTTCAATTCTAATTAGTTTGACATGAAATATAGACGGATTGAAAAGTAACAATGGGTGAAGCCTTAACAAAGAAGGTGTTACAGGTAGGCCTTTGCTGCTGTCGTATGGTGTTTCCCAATTTTGGGTTTGGGAACCAATGGGTTAGAAAACACATCTTAGGGCTCACAGGATGATTTAGAAGCTATAAGAGAAGGAGATATTCTACTTACTGTAAGCACATATCTTTCAAATGTTCCACTGCTTACATTTTGTTCAATCAATTAAGGCAAAGAAAAACATTCATTATTGGTTATAATCAGTAAACATTCAAGTTTTCAGTAGGCATTGCTTTGTTTTAATTGGTCACATATAGAAAAGGTGAGAAAGTCACTGTACAAGACATACAAATATAATTTAAGGTTGAGCCACAGGCTGGAGGCTGGAGTTTTGCTCACAGAAAGTCATGGCAAAACGTTAAACTTTAAGATGTGATGCGTCAGAGTTTTTATTAATGTCAAAGATGAGCTGTGTGAGTTGAAGAGAGCTCTCAGAGCACAGCCATGAAGGAGTGGCACTCGTCCAGCTGGAAGATTTCACTAATGTCTCATTAGTAGGCAAATCTAAAACTGGCCTCACATCACCATTTAGAAGTGACCTTAGTCCAGCGTCCTCTAACGGCTTCCACATAGACACCAGTCTACAGTTCAGTGTAATTACTTCTATTTCTTCTACAAACATGGATAAAGGAGGGCTAATCGGTGGATTTGTGCACATCCTCTGCTTACATTTGATTTCACTTCACCCATCTGCAGTCTTTTTATGGTGGCCATCCCCTTCCTGTTAATGCAATCACACTAATTCAATTGGGCATGCAAAATGATGCAAGTGAAAGCAACTCAAAAGACTAATTTGAGCCCAGATATAAAACAAGCCAAAGATGCTTCAGCTACAGCAATTCAGCATTTTGTTTCTAGTTACGTTGCTTTATCCTGCAAACTTCTAAGTATGACCAAAATATCTGTATTTGTACTGCAATGCTTATACCTATAACGTGTTCAAAGACTATAATATGTTGAAAGTCTTCAGTGCCTCTGGTGGCCGAAGGTGGTAGTCCCCAGTCTGTTCTGCACAGAGGAAAAGGTTACACAGGAAAGAGTTCAGAAATACGGATTCAGTTGGACTAAATTTCCCCAGTGAATGTCCCGCCTGCAGGCCTGCACACTCCAACTAGCAATGTGTTAAACATCAGTGCAGTGTGCAGAGTGGTGCCTACAGCCTGGCCTAAGACAAGAAAATACAAACACATGAGCACGGTCAAAAAAATGAAAGGGCAAGTTATTTTTCTACCTCAAAGTCCTATTTTGAATATGTTAATATAGCCTTACTGTAGGAACATATCGCACTCATTTGTTGTTCCTGTGGCTTGTGTCTCTTATTACATTCATTTTATGTGGTTGAAAAAGATATGCAAATTAGACTTTGGTATTACTGCATACGTATTTTTGGTGTTTGTTCCTCCCCTATATCTTCCCACCCATGTCTGTCTTCCCGCGTTCTTACCTCCATGCCTACCCCACCTGCATATTTTTATGTGGATGGTGACCTCAGCAGGCCTTGGCTAACGTTAGCTCAGCCACCTCCTCCTCTTTGCAGCCTCTGATGATGAGGAAGCCTCTGCTGCGACACTGATGCCGGGTCTGCAGACAGAGCGACAGGCTCCAAAACCCTCGAAGAGGACAGACTGATAGACTGAGTGTTTCTAAAGCTCTGTACAAATACTCAGTGTGCACTTTTTTTCTTTCTTGTAATGGCTTCTCTTTATTTTTGGTTTACAAATGTGATTTTTAAGTTATTTCTTTGTTAGGAAAGGGTCTGCAATGCATTAGCACAAAAATAAAGGGCAAAGACTGATTGAACGGATGAGAAGGAGATTCACAGCCACCCTGTGTTGAACCTATGAGTCACTGGGATGCTCCTATCTTTTTGTCACGACAAAAGCCACAGCTGGACTGGAGCTCTGCAAGGAATTCTGTGGATTCTGTCAAGATTTGACATTTGGCTAGATAGAAAAATCTCCAGACCATGAGGCCCTTTTTATTCAGACTATTTTCCCTCCTCATAATAATGACTAACTCCCTTGCTACACTACAGCGAGCCCACAAGAAAAATTACCATCCACAGATGCATATTTTTTCTAAATATGAATAGTTCGATTTTTGGTAAGGAGAGAACTATGTGGAAATGATTTGGCGTCATTCCTGCATTTTTCATACCACACTATTTGATACTACCCGCCCTCAATCATCATCTTTCTGCTTCGTCACTCTGTAAATCGACTTAGTCATGCTCACTCGATCACCTTTTCTCGGCTGTATTTTAGTTCCAGCGAGTGCCCTAAAAAGAAAGATTTGAATCCCTATGGGTGTTTGTCGCACAAAAGATGAACACACTTCACATTGTAATGGCACCATTATGTGTGTCTTGTCTTATTCACTTTTACATAAGCATTGAAGCAAAGTGCATTGAAGAGGACTGATTGTTAAGCCTGTCAGCATGTGAGAATATATTGTTGCATTTGCTTTGCCAATACAGTAGTTAATTAGAGCCGACAGAATGCTTGTGAAGTGATTTTGTATGTTTAATTGTCTTAAATATGATATTAGCATAAAAAGCGATATTTTTACTCAAAGCAAATGTAATTCGCATTTACATATGATTTCAATAGCTGGATTATCAAACAAAGAGCTTAAAGGTGGGGTAGGTACGTTTGAGAAACCGGCTCGAGATACACTTTTTGTTATATTCCATGGAATGCTCTTAACATCCCGATAGCAATGAATATCTTAAGTGCTTTGACAAAAAATCCATAAAAAAATATAATCTCTGGAAGCTGTAGTACTGTAAAAAGCACGACCAATCATCTGAGCCGGCTCGGCTAAAATAACTGGATGGCCTACCTGCCTGTCAGCCTTCCAACTTTCCATCTGTGCACACATT